GTTTATCCGACCTGCCACGCTTTCACATGACCAGTTTCAAGCGGAAAAGAGACCTTAACTCCAAGTGGATATATAACGGCTACTGTAGTATCCGGTACTTCGTCACCACTTACGAGCCAATGGCATGAGGCTACTCCTAAGTGTCAGCGAAGAAGGCGCTGTCTGCTCACCGTCAGCACGTTACCTCGCCAATCAGCCAGCAGTGAGCCACCACGGAGCGGTGAGGTGGTGACACCGCAGCAGATCGACACGGGACCCGGTCGACGTCATCTGCTGTCTTTGTCTGGTCGTCTAGACCAATGCATGTTTGCACATCGACCAACTCCATAGCACAAGAGCTAGATGCGTAGTTTAGCGGTTAGCTTCTGGTCAATTTATTTCATTCTGCAATTTCCGTTCTTCTGGGCAAGCAGCACTACATTTGGTAGCACTTGCTTCGCGGTGGGGGGGATTCCTTCGCTTCGTTCTTTGGGTAACTCGTGGGGTTGCCACTCTCTTTCACTCTCTGACTATCGGGAAGTCATTTGGTTCTGCTATTTGGACTCTGCGAGAGTTTATTTCCGACGTATCAGCAGTAAGGGCTTGCTGAATTAGGGCCAATCAGAAACCTTCTACTTCAACTTCGACCTGTGTCATGGCTGATGCCAATATGGAGCACCATGGTGGCGGGGTGCAGCCGGAGCATTTCATGGCTGCGTTCGAACGCATCGCGGCTGGCTTGAGTCAGCAGAACGCACAGATTTACCAGGATTTTCAGTCGTACCTCCAGGGGTACCAGCAACAGTTGCAGCAGCAGCTGCAGGCGCAGCACGCGCACCGAGAGCACAAGATCGAGGGAGTCAGTATGCCAACGTATCACGGCCGTCCTCATGAATCTGTGGATGAATTCATTTTCCGGGCAAAGCTATTCATGCAGGGGAAATGTATCAACTTTATGAATCCCCAGAACGGTCCTCGGGTCGTGGCTATGTTAGCTGCCAATTTCCGTGACGGTGCAGCGTCATGGTATCACGCCAAGGTCATGGTAGAGCACGTAGCTTACCACACTATCGATGAGCTGCATGGTGCGCTAGCGGCTGAGTTCGTGCCTCCGGACCAGCAATTTCGTCTACGTGCTGAGTTGCGCCAGTGTCAGCAGCGTGGTTCTGTCGATGACTACGTTAAGGATTTCCGTCGGTTGATGGCCCAGATTCACGGAATGCATGCGCTGGACCAGGTAGACCATTTCTGTGAAGGTCTGAAGTCAGAGACAAAAAAGGAGGTCATGTACCTGCGCTGTGCGACGCTTGCAGATGCTATTGCCGCTGCGCAAGCATACGAACGAACGCACTTTTCGGGTGAGCGTGGCCGGCAACCGTCAAGCTCACGGGTTGCGGCAGCTTCTGATGGACCGACACCCATGGATTTGTCTGTGGTAGATAGTCGACAGATTGACAAGCGTACATGCCGGGAGCGTAATCTGTGCTTCTATTGCAAAGAAGTGGGGCATCGGATTGCCAACTGCCCACGCAGCAACGGCCAAAACACGGGACGCGCGCAGGGAAATGGCGTGGCTCGGCAGATGTAAGTGGAGTATCTGTCGAGCCGGCAACGCAAGAATCTCCTGCAAGTTGCGAGGCATCATCAATTGAGATCATGGAGATCTCTACCGTTTTAGTTGGACCCAGCACACCGTTTATTAAGACGGTGTACATCGCGGATAAGCCGTTTCGAATGCTGATTGATTCTGGGGCGTCTCATTGCATACTCAAGGATGGTGCCTTGGATACATCCCAGATGTCGATAATTCAAGTGTCTGCCCGCGGATTTGATGGTGGAGCCCAGCAACGGCTGGTTCCTGGAACCCTGGTGACCAGGGTGTACCTTTGCAACATTGATTTGATAAAGCACTTGTCAGCACCAAGCGTACGCGTCATGCTGCAGCAGGAATCGAGATCGATTTGACCCAGGAAGGGTGACAAGCTTTCGACCGGATGAGAGAGCTGTTGGCAACATCTGCCACGCTGGATTGCCACGACAAGTTTCTTCACGGATGCGTCGGACGTGGGCTGCGCTGCCATCATTACCCAAGCGAAGGAGTATGATTCGAAGCGGTCAGCTCCAGTGCATGAGCGGGGCTTTTACTGGCAGACTGTTAAACTGGACTGTCATCGAAAAGGAGGCCCTGCTCGTAGTGCTGGCTTGTGAAAAGATGGACTTCGTGTTGCTATGTTCACAAATATTTTGAATATTTTGCGACCACAGGAATTTGCTTCGCTTTTTCGCGTCGCATAAGAGTGCTAATAAACATATCAAAGGCAAACATTTCAGGTGGGCTATGAATTGGAGAAACGTTCGATACATTGTGGAGCACGTACCAGGCCCGACAACGTCCGGCCGATAGGGCCTCTAGATGGGCTGGAAATCACGCATCCGTGGTCACTGTTGATAGGGTCTAGGCTTTACGTCGAAAAGCAGAACCGGCCCGACCAAGGCTACGCCTTTGGTCGACTCCAACTTCGTCTGATCTACACTTAAGGAGCTGAACACCTTTCAAGTCGAGTATCACTCGCCGCCAGGAGCCGAGAGAGCGGATGACGGAACGACCACGTTGGATGGACGAATCGGGATGCCGCCCGAGGCTACGGAGATGATCTAACACCTGGGCATCGTTGCACACTGTGGAGCCTAACGACACCGCGGCCAACAGGCAGTGATTGCTCACCTTCGTTAACGTTTTGTTATCGACTATGGGGGGGGGGTACGGCCATGGGGCTACGTGATCGACATCAGCACTCGCAATGGCGTTCCTGAATTTGATTTTCTTACGATGGGATCAAGCTACATGGACAGCAAGTAAATCCTTGAATTGAAGGACCACGCTACACACTACTGTGGTTTAATGGCGGACACGAGTGACAGCAGAGACACAACTGAGGCGCTGTTGCCTTGGCATTCACGGTTTGGCATTCCACTCAGCTGGGTGGCGGACTGGGGAACACATTTCAAAACCTGGATTGGTGCCAAATGCAGTCGCACACTGCGTACTCAGCATATTTCATGTCAGCATACAGCCCATGGGTTAATCGATCCGTGGAGCGAGTCAATCGGTACATATTCCAGGTCATCAGGGCAATGCCGTTGGCGTACAAGATCAGTCAGAAGGCTGGGGTCGATCGGGTCCCCATGGTGCAGCCTACCTTTGCTTGGGAACCACTTACCATTGAGGATTTTTATTGGACTCCAGAGCCCGACTCCTCTGCAAGAGTTTTATCTCTCAAACTAGAACAAGCTCTGGGCGGTCCTTGACAGGGAGGAGATTGATCTCCTCCCTGGGCTGCGCAAAAGCATCCAAGCAATTCACTGCGATGTGGAGGATCAGCGGCTTAAGCAACACCTCTTCAATCAGAAGCGCGAGCGCGGTGGAATTTGGTAAATTTCACTGTGAGCGAACTTGTTCTCCGCTCTCGGATGGACGAGAAACACGGGAACAAACCGTAAGCTACTTGGGTTGGGGCGTTTCCTGTCGTACGAGCGGACATCCATTTGGTTCAAGTGCAGCACTTAGTCACTGGTTACAAACAGGATATGAATGCATCAAGACTCAAGATGTACGCCGGCAACAGTCGGGAGGTAACCGACGAACGGTTGGCACACGTGACAGCACAATATATCGTGCTAGAAGTCGGTAAGCTGACGGATCATCGTTGGACAGTAGCATCAAGGATTTCGAGATACAGGTCGGATGGAAAGGCCTACAATTGGTTGGTGATTCGTGCAAACTCTTGCCTGATATCGTGTAGTGGGTGGTGGCATGAAAGCCCAACCACGACCACGCAATACAGTGAGTGAAGCTCTGTAGTTGAGCTATGGCAGCATGTGTTGATAGTTAGCCACTATGTAGTGGCACAGCACGCAGTAAAGTGCATATCAAGTGCTGTGGCCCATGAGATTAGGTCACGCACCTGAAGATTATCTACTACACATGTTTGTTAGCTCGGGCTGGTATACATCGTGGCAGAAAGCCACCAGGACGTTGCCTTGCAGGACGCTGTCACTGGGACGCTAGTGATAGTTAGGTAGAGCGGTTTGTCGGCGTGCATGTCTTTATAGTTCACTTTTGGTTTTACATCAAAGCCGGCAAGCGCAATACAATCAGCAAGAGACTTACGGAAGTGCCAGCTTCCCCTGACGGTGTTCGCGTTTTTTCAGTGTGACCTACTATATATCGCCAAGGAAATTCGTGTCCTTGTGGACAAGTACATTCAGCAATCGGATGACCAGAGACTACCAGATTTCTGGTGAGCTCTGCACTCTGGTGGAGGGGAGCAGCAGGCTGGACATATCACTTCCAGTATGGGTGACACGTGTATGCCTCATAAGATATGCTGCCGGTACGACGCCGACACTCAGGAAATAAGCGGTGACGTCAAACGGCATCGGATAGTGAAGCTTAGCAGGTCGACAATCCCGGTGAAGACGACAATCTTCGCGCAGGTGTACATGTAAATTCGCCGCAGGCCGCGACTGGGATCGAAAAGGACCAAGCAGCTCACCGACTTGTAGACCGAAGGACACGTTCATGTACCGCGACTGCAGGAGTCACGATGATTCCTCACAGCACTTCGAGCTGATTCATCCGTCGTCGTAGAGCTGAGACCAGCGCAGCTAGTACCTGTCGGCGGTGGCTGTTGTAGCGGTGATCGAGGGGTGTATGCAGTGACTAAGTTCGGACGCTGTGGAGTGAATCCCAGATTTTTAGCTTGGATCACCGCAGCGGAACCCGACGTTTCAGACACCCAGTACTGGCGTGAGCAGCGTGCTCAGGCGCCGAGTGATGTCTTCGTAGAAACCACCAAGTGGGTATACATGAGTCTTGCGGCGCCAGGCGAGAACAATGGATGCAGATCTGTGGTGGTCTGCTTTTCCAAGACGGCAACTTATGGCACCTTGATCTGTATAAGGATGTTGTATACCCTACTGCATGTTTCCTTTAATGTGGATGCATTGTACATTGTCAGCAGGCTGCCCATGACAGACTGTCTCTCATTGTGTTCATCCTGGTATGTTTGAGCTGGTTACAATCAGACTCTCGGTCTTGCCAAGTCTATCACTTTCCAATCTTCTAAGCCATCAGCACATCAATTTATTCGGCTACTACTTCCGTGTGGATTGACACCTCATTTCTGTTTTGAAGGGTTTTATATTCGGACCTGGGAGAGGCATCCAAGGGACAAACACAAGGCTGTTTTGGCCACGGTGACAGGCTCTACTAAACGGGTTGTGTCCGTGTCGAAAGCCGCGACTCGCGTTTTAAGAGCCCCGATACAGCTGCGACAGCATGAAAGCGTGCCACGGGTGAACGTTACAGGCAACAACGACAACGGGGGTGCAAACTACGTTTGCAACTTCGATGGTCAACCCGTCCAGTGCTTTAGGATGCTGCAACTGGTGTGAGCCTCGACATCTTCAACATCGATATGAATGATGGCGACATCGCAGGCTTGCATGTCAATGCTATGGCTACAGAAACGAGGATAACGGTGGGTGTAACATCATCGCTCGTGTAGACGAGTACTGTTGTGGTGGGTCAACACGTTGTACGACAGTCGTACGGTGTAGAACTCAGGGGTCCGCAAATGGTTATGGACTACGGATGGAGAGGGCAAAATCTCAGCTCCATCTGTTATGACTCGTAGTCCATAATGGAGATACGAGAGACATCATTGATGATCACCTATAGCCACACATCTTGATGTACTGCTATTGGAATGTCATACATGATATTATTACGTTGTTGTCAATGGATAGGATACACTAAGAGAAACGGGAGATAAAACTGTATATCTTTCACTTGAACTTTATATTCGAAGGATACATATTAGGTATCTAACGACTTTGTTCACGCCAATTGGTCACGCCGATAACAACCCTTGGTAGGCACTTGGCTGGTATCCTAACACCCCAGTAGTAATTAGAAGCATATCATGCATAATACTACTTCGTTGTAGGCCTCATTAAAAATTACGAGATGCTAAAACTGCACCAATATACTACAAAATTAACCAATAAGAATCGACGGAAGATGGAAAGGTGACATTAATGCAGATTAGATAGTGCAGAGGCCACCATGGCCTATGTGGACGTTTTAGATACGTGATCGAGGTTCGTGGTGTCGCATGATGCGTGTCTAATGCATGTCAATGGCTGTTATCGGCGTGACCAAATGGCGTGGCCAGAGTCGTCAGAGACTAAAAATATTGATTACCCTCCCCCCCCCAGCCCATGGCTATTTGGTGCTCACCATCTTACACATACCTACACACGTTAAGGTTTACCTGAATGATGGTCACCCATACTGTACTCAAGATATCTGATAACGTGTCTGAACCCATACCTCTACCCCTAAATTTGCTATCGTGTCTTTCCCACAAAATGTGTCCACCAGATATATGGTATACTTACTATTGTGTCTATTGTACTCAAAGCCGATACAGCTCAACGTGAAGACAAATATTTGTCAATATTTAGAGGGACGAACCAGGTGAACACAACAGTATATTCAATACAAGTCAAAATCAAAGTCAGAGCCTGCATAACTACGTCATTATTTCCGCGGCATCTCTTCTGTGGTGGGGGTCCCTCACTTCCGGAATCACCGCTCGACTGCATGGAATTGTTGGCGTTACCACCGTTCTCACTGGTATGTTTCTTCGGGAAACGGGCACAAATCTTGCGCTTGTTGAGCGTATGATGAATCAAGATGCTGTTCTTCCAATGCTTATACCAGATCTTGAAGCAAGATGCTGACACACCACTCACCGAGTGCTTCATTTTATTGCAAAGGAAGATCCGAGCTTCTAAATCATTTTTAAAGCTGTTTTCAGTTTATACTCCATGCAAAAGAACGTAGTCTCACCCCCGCGTGTATCTCCATCTGCCTTGAGCACGGATCAGACCTTACAGGCGCGCTGACGGCGTTTTCGAGCTTGTGTGGCGCTGCCTTTACGCCACTCGTCGGTCTGCACACGGACGTGTTAGGCGGCTTCTCGAGCTCTAGTTGGTGTCGCCTGGAGCCCTCGGTGCCTCAGTAGCTGTTGCCAGTCTTCAGGCGGAAGCTGGCATAACTCATAGTGTAGTTGCTTAAGGTATTGGACGTGTGATGGCTTGCGCTCACCATCCCTCACCCGCCGGCTGATGAAGACATAAATGAATTGATAATCGCCCGATATTTACGACCAGGAAACAACGCCTTCTAATACTTCCTGTATCGTCTTGCTAACTTCAGCGAGTATCTATGTAGTGCATGTAGCAGACACGATT